GCATAGCCCTGGCTGTCCTGGAACTCACTGTATAGACCAGACTGGCCTGGAATTCTTGGAGATCCACCTGCTTCTGCCTCCAGATTAAAGGTGTGGGCCACCACCCCTGGCTAGTAAGGTAAACTGAATGATTGAGATGGAAAGAAGAGCTGTTCTTGACCAAGGGAAGCTCTGAATTTAGAGGGAGGCAGAATTGGAAAGAGACACAGATAGATGGAATTCAGAGCAGACAAAGAAAAAGGGAGAGCCAGTGAAGGCTAACATGAAAAGACTATGACAGAGAGAGGGAATACTCCTTCCAAGCCAGGGGAAGGGGATGGAGGCAGTTTATAGAGCCTCTGAGAGTGATCACCTCCACCCTCTGGGCAGGAGGCTGGGCACTAGCCTCGCCTTGGTGGGGCATGGTCAGGAAGCACCCTTGGAATTCATCCCTCCATCCGTAATCATGACAGGGATGAGCACAACACTGGGATTATGCCCTTGAAAGCTCTCAGGCCCACTAGGAAGTATATACTATTCCCATCCCCTTTTGCTGCTACGGAGACTGAGATTCACTGACTTGTTCTCAGTTAATAACTAGTAGGGACAGAACCTGAACCTGGGTTTGTCTAATTCATTACTGCTCTCTCAGGTTTCTGGGGGATACTCTTGACAGATGATACATGAGTGGCCATGCTCCCCAGGTTGCTGTGTTCACTCAGCACATAGTAGGGGTCAATGAAATATTTATTTGGTGGAAGAATTTGACAGCATCAGGGCTGGGGACCTGTGAGATACTCCATGGATAATGGCAGCCCAGGGCCCCAGAGAAGCTTGACTAGGCTGGACCCTACCTGGACTTACTCAGGGGTAAGACACATGAATGTTTTTCTGGACCTACGTTATATCCCAATTGATCCAACTCAACCCAAGCCCTAGACAAAAGATTTTCAAACCTTCCAATTTGTCAAGAGATGCTTGGAGTTCTGAGCAGGATTCCCCCATGGACAACAGCTAGGTGGGCGGGCACTATTAATTAGAAGCCAGCTAGGGGTCCCTGGCTCAGTTTCCCCTTGCAATGGCATTTCTTTGAGGAGTACGGAGATGGTGAATATGAACTACTTTAACCTAGGCTTCCTTGCATGGCCTCAAGAAGCCAACTTTAAGCTGGAGCGATGGCTCGGCCATTAAGAGCACTTAATGTGCTTGCAGGAGATCTGAGTTTGGTTCACAGCGCCCACATCAGGTGGCTCACAGCACATGTAACTCCAGTTCCAAGGGACCAAATCCCTTTTTTGGCCTGGATAGGCACATGCACACACACATGCATACTCATGCATTCATTTACATAAATAAAAATAGAGCTGGAGGGATGGTTCCGTGGTCACAAGCACTTGCTGCTCTTGGAGAGGAGGACCTGGGTTCAGTTCCCAAAATCCAGATGGCAGCCTGCAACTCCTGTAAATCCAGTGTAAAGGGATTAGATACTATCTGGCCTCCAGGGGTACTAGGCACTCCAATAGTGCACATACACCCATGCAGGCAAATATTCATTCACATAAATATGAATAAAATCTTTTTTGTTTGTTTGTTTTTAAACATGTTTCTCTGTTTAGTCCTGGCTGACCTGGAACTGACTCTGTAGATCAGGCTGGTCTCAAACTCAGATATCTGCCTGCCTCTGCCTCCCAAGTACTGGGATAGAAGGCTTTCACTACCATGCCTGGCTCAATAAAATCTTAAAAATAGATAAATAAAATAACTCTCAGAAAAGAAATCAAGAGAGAGGCTGAAGAAATGGCTCAGCAGTTAGAAGCACTTTTAAGTTCAGTTCTACGCACCCACATTGGGTAGAAGGGAATCTGACTCCCCCTTCTGGCCTCAAAGAGTACCCACATGCATGTGAACATACACACAGAGAGAGACATATATCAATTAAAAAGACTCTTAATGTTTTATCTTGGTTTTTTTTTTTTTGTTTTGTTTTGTTTTGTTTGTTTGTTTTTAAACAAAGAACAAGGGGCTGGAGAGATGGGTCATTGGCTAAAGACAATGACTACTCTCCCAGAGGACCTGAGTTCAATTCCCAGCACTCACATGACAGCTAACTACTGTCTATGACTTCAAGATCTGACTCCCTCACACAAGCAAACATACAGGTAAAAACATCAAAGCACATAAAACAAAAATAAATAAATTACAAAGAATAAAACCTACCCTCAGCTGTGGCTCTTTCACCCCAGATTCAGAAATCTGTCCTCTACCCAGGGTAGAGGACAAACCCAGCAAGAGCTACAACCTCCATATCTCCTGCTCCAGACACTTAGGCCCTGAACAGGGTTCTTCTTCCTTTTCAGAGACTCTTCCAGAACCATCATCCCTTCAGTGACCATATTCTGCTCCCAAACAGGGAGCACTTGCAGGCAAGTGGAGATGGAGATGGGGATGGGGATACTGGGTCTCCAGGGAAGTCTGCAGAAGGAAACCCTGCTGTGTGCCCATCTTCACTCTGCTCCCTTGCAGGCCTCACATCTGGAACCATTTCAAGCAGGAGAGGCAGAGGAGTTGTCCCTCCTTTGATGTTGGGGTATGGGAAAGGGTTGTGCCCTTTGTGGGGGCCGAGAGGTCACAATGCATGGATAGCATCCCTCCTGAGGCTAGGAAAGGAGGTGTGGGAGGAGCAGGCTGGGCCAGGGCTGGGGGCAGAGCCTTATGAAGACACAGGCAAATGCAGAAGGATGCAGATGGCCAGCAGTATCCTCCTGAGGAAAGATGTCTACATTTCCTCATGCTAAGCCTCAATGCCCCATTGCTAAAATAGTAAAGATCCATGGAGAAGGTCTTGCATGAGGGGATTGTGTTTTTGACTTTTTGTGGGTTGTTGATGTTTTCAGACAGGGTTTCTCTGTGTAGTCCTAGTGCTGGCTGTCCTGGAACTTGCTCTGTAGACCAGGCTGGCCTCAGGAAGCTACCTACCTCTACCTCCTGAGTGCTGGGATTAAAGGTGTGGGCCACTACTGCCAATCTTTATTTGTTTTTATCAAGAAATTGTCTTGCTGTGCTGCTGTGCAGTCCAGGCTGGCTTGGAACTCACTGTGTAGTCCAGGATGGGTTCAAACTCATGACAATCCTTCTATGGAAAACTCTTGAGTGCTAGGATCACAAGTGTGAGCCATCATGTTTGCTAAAAGAGGGTGCTCCCAGGCAGGATATGGTAGTTCATGACTTGGGAATCCAGCTCTTGGGAGGCAGAGGCAGGAGAATCAGGAAGGAGTTCAGGCCACCCTCAGCAATACAATGAATTTTTTATAAGACCAATAAGATATTCAATGGTGTGCTAGGTCTTAGCCCAACCCCAGGAGACAATCAGAAGAAGTGGGAGTCTAGTCAAGCAGGAACTTGTTTATACCCCATAGCAAGCATCTTTTAAAGCAAAAAACCAGCAGGGTGGAAAAACAGCCAGCCAATGGTTTTAAAGATCAACCTAGGCACCCTATGCTTTACCTAGTGAACAGGAGCCTTTCATGTAGTGACCAATCACCCTTTTTTGTAAACATCTCAGGACTGGCCCTCCTGACTTCACACAATCTCTGACTGGCTCCTGTGCCCTTCACCAGACACACACCTTTAATCTCAGCACTGGGGATGCAGAGGCAGGCAGATCTCTGTGACTTAGACCAGCCTGGTTTACAGAGTAAATTCCAGGACAGCCAGAGTCAAACACTGAGAAACCCTGTCTGCAAAAAATAAACAAACAGAAAAAGATATTCATTGGTAGAAGCACTTGTGGCCAGTCTTGACAGCAAGGGTTCGATCCCCAGGACCCACATAATGAAAGATGAGAACTGACTCCTACAAGTTGTCCCCTAATCTCCATATATGCACCATGGTACATGTACATATGCACAAAAGTAAATAAAAATTTAAGATGATGCTTCCACACAGGGCCAGCAATATCCTGGTAAAGCTCAGGTTGAAACAGCAGCTGCTGCTATTGTCATTACTATCACCTTAAAATTTCTATCACATTAAAAGTAACCCTTTCAAGCCGGGTGTTGGTGGCGCACACCTTTAATCCCAGCACTTGGGAGGCAGAGGCAGAGGCTGGCAGATCTCTTGAGTTCGAGTCCAGACTGGTCTACAGAGCGAGTTCCAGGACAGACAGCCACAAAGAAACTCTGTCTCAAAACAAACAAACAAACAAGAAACCCTCCCCTCAAAAAAACAAAACAAAAAAAAAACAAAGCAAAACAAAAACCCAAACAACAACAACAAAAAGTTTAAGCAACACCAAAGCTGCTGTTCAGCTATGGGGTCCAGGTGAACATACCTGCATTAATCATAAACTGTGGAACCAAACACTGACATACGGGGAGGGCAAGATGGGAAAGGGCAGGGCAGTCGGGAAGATGTCCCACAGGAAGTACGGGGGCTGCCCTTCAGATATGAGAGAGCCTGACAAAATAAGAGTGTGGGCTAAGGAGAGGGTGTTCCAGGGAGCAGACAAGCTTAACTAAGCCCTGGAGACAGAAGGATGCCCTACAGGCCTGAGGAGGGGGGAGGGGAACTGCTGGTGTAAGGCGCTAGGCAGAGCTAGGGAGGGGAAGAGCTCCAGTGGACCTGACTTAACTGGGGCGATGAATGCAGCAGAGCCTAACGGTTCCTTCTAGGGTAGGACTCTACCCTGAGGACCTCACTGCCCCACCCACACTGCATCCCAGTTCATGCTCCCAGGTACTGCAGGGGCTACTGGTACCTACTCCCACCTAGACACCCACCCAGCCAGCTCGGAGAAATCAGGTGGCTGTTCCCTCCTCTCTTTATTTATTCCGTACCCCCCCCTTTCAGGAGACCATAATTATTCAGATCAGCCTGGTGATTTACTCGGCAATCAGAGCCGCTCGATGCGGTGGCCGCGGAGCCGAGACAGACGAGCATCGCCAAGGAGGATGAGACGGGGGCTCAGCCCCCTCCCTCCGGCTCGCCCGCTCGGCCTTTGTTCTCTTGGAGGTCTGCACCCGCGCTGCTGGCCCACGGTGGAGGCGCCCAGCCACACCGACACAGTAACGACCTCAGGGGCTGGAGAGCAAGTGTGCACGCGCGTGTGCCTCAGGGAGGGGCATAGGGGCCAGGTGTCAGATATACATGTTTGTGTGTATAAGAGGAAAGTGATGGAGTATACCAGTGGGACATTGCTGTCAGGTGTACAATTGCGATGTGTGCACCTGTTTACCCACCAGGGCCTGGGCACAGGTGTTACTGCAGTCTTGTTTAAAAGTGTGATGGACAGTTGACCAAATGGATGTATTTGAGGCACACATAGGAGAGAAGATGACGGTTGAGGCTCCTGTGATGTAACCATCTGAGAGACCCATAGATGGGTCAAGGCAAGGTTCTAGCTTATTTTCTCTGACCACTTGTGCTCGAGCAGGCAGGGCCCAGGGTGATGAGCTCAGAGCTTGATCAGTGTGGGGGCCAGAGGTCACTTGACTGGGGTGCAGCTGTTCAAAGACGGATTACACGCGTGCACAAAGGTGCGTGTGCATTTGTGTCCTCAGACCTTCGCCTCCTCCTGCCTGCGGGCGGGCGCAGTGACGGTGACCTCATTACCGCCTCCGCAAGGCCCCTTGAAATCCCTTCGCCTCCGCATTTGGCTGCTCTAAAGTGATGGGAACGGCCTGAGCTTCCTGATCAATCGCTTAAAATTCAGGGTCGGCTCGCTCGCGCTAGAGGGCTGCCTGCCAGCCCCGCGCAGTGCGCTCTGCCGCCTCCCCCCTACTCCCTTGCATTGGGGTGGGGTGGGAGGGAGCCGCGATGCCGTCGTATTGGAAAACATCCCCGCGCTGGCTGGGGGGCCCGGTGGGGCCAGCGCTGGAAGCCGTTCCACTCGAGCAGATGGCTGTGAAACTTTGGCGGCGAGATAAATTGGGTCTGACGGCGTGAGGCCGGCTCACAGATGGGCGGGATTCTCACGCCGGCCCCCACGTCCGGCCCGACTGCGGGCAGGGGCCGGCGCCGCGCAGAGCCCCCCTCGGGTACCCGTCCTGCCAACGTAGGGCTCGGGGGCCACCCATCCTCCTGGGGCCTCCCTCGGTTGAGGGCGCCCTCAATCACCTTCCTTCCGGCCCCAGAGCTCCCAAGAGACGAGCCAGAGGGAGGGGCGCCCCCAACGCCCGCCCAGTCACCTCCGCCAAGCTGGCAGCTGGGCTTTCCCCCTCCTCTGCCATCCACAGAGGCCTGAAGCGTGAAGGTTAACAGCTGGGGGGGAGGCTGCGTCTCCCTCTCTCACCCCCTTTTTGCTGCAGCCCCGCCCACCTGCCAGCCCAGGGGATGTCGTAAACAGGGCTGTGAGGTGTGTGCGGAGGGGGGCTGAAAGGAGGGATAGCGAGGAAGCCAGACAAAGAAAGCGAAAATGTGCGAGAGGCGAAGAGAGACCAAAGCGTAGACCAAGGACCTAGACAGGCTGAGAAATAGAGATGGAGGGTTTGACACAGAGACACCCACAGAGAGGAAGGATGGAAGAACCTCGGAGCTAGACCGAAACACATGATTGGAAGTGGGAGGAAGGGGAAGGATGGAGCAAGGGGACTCAATACTGGCAGAGGTGCAAGCTGCACCGGCCTCGGTGTTGGACCACCCTGGAGGGTGGGGACGTACAGGGGCTGAGGTCCGGAGCATGGGAGTGCCACTGCCCATGGCCGCACCCAAGATCTTCGCGTCATTTCCCCCGCCTCGATTTCCCCTGGAGTGCGGGGGTAGGGAACATTGCACAGCTGCCTCTCTGCTTCAGAGTCCGCCCGGTCGAGCTGCCTCGTCCGCGCATCAGTCCAGCGGGCAGATATCGATCCTTCCTAGCTAAGCTCGATACCCGCGGCCTGCAGCCCGCTGTGCTACAAAAAAAAAGGAAGGGCTAGCTCTTCAGGACGCCTCCGCCGAGAGTCTGTGCCAGAATGAACCCGGGCGGGCCTGGGTCAGAGCGGAGAACTAGCTCTTGCAGGTCCCTGTACAGCCCCACTAGGCAGGCCAGTCAGTGTGAGGCAGGGGCATGACCTGGGTAACCTTAGGCCCAGCCTTCTACAGGGAGCGCTAAGGCAAGAGGGAAAAAATATCTTCGAGGAGCTGATGAAGTTGAAGTTTTGTAAAGGGCGTGAGGTAGACAGCCAATCAGCAGGTCGGTATTTACATGGACTCTCGGATTGGCTCTCACGGTGCCTCTTTAGAATGTTACTTTGAAATCTTAAGAAAAACATAAGTCCCACCCATGAGGAAGGAAGGAGGCTCTAACACACCCCTCCAAATATCATGTAGGGTTCGCCCTGGGAAAACTCCCCCACACAAGCGCCGAGGGGAGGTGGGATGCTGCCCAAGCGACAGATATGGGTAACTAGCTGGAGTTCCGAAGAAACAGCAGCTTGGCCATAGCCCAGCAGATAGGTTGCACCCAGAACTCTTCCACATGCCCAAATGGGGGATGAGGGGGATTAGACATGCTGGAAAGAGGGGCTTGGTTCTGACAATCTGGTAAAAGCCATCCAATGTCATTAAAGGAATTGGCCCAATGAGTAATTCTCCGGTTTGCTATAGGGGTTTGCTACAGGAACACTGCAAGCTTGCAAATAGTATCAGAGGTAGGCTGGGTTGTCCCCTTGCTTACCTTCAGGCCAGTTTGACCTGGAGATCATATTTCCCTCACAGGCCTGTGAGGCAGACATGAATACATGGGGAGGGGGTCAGTGACAGATTGAAGCCTCCCAAGCCTATAAAAGGGTGTCTCGATCAGTCCGCCCCCAGGAGTCTGCTGTATCGTGAGACTGCTCTGTTCAGCAAACCCTGAGGCTCCCTCCAGGAGAGGGAGAAGCTTCAATATTGGCAGCTAAGCATGGACCTTCCCACCCTCCCCTTACTGGGGGGTGGGGGTTTGAGCCTTCCACTCATGCTGAGAAAAGGGGGGTGGTGCCTTTCCCAAATATCACCCATTTTTATGACCCACACCCCTCTGCCAGGGGCCTAGATGACTCAAGATTCAGGGGGGAAGAGCTATCAAGGGTGTGAGGGACTTAGGTCTGTAGCTAAAGCTGAAGAGAAAAATCCCTCACCCATTTGCCTGTGGTGAATTGGGGTGTAGAACTGTTCTGAGTTGACTCTGGTAAGGCTCTGTTCCACCCAAGCTCTTTCCTTATGACCGAGCCTGGAGACTGCACCTCACCCAGAGCCTGACAGCTTATGTGAAAGCTGTTTCTGTGGTCCCTGTGTGCCCATCCTGTACACATCCGACATGGAGTCTGTTACAGTAAATGTTTGCAGGACCATGGGCCAATGTTTAAACACCTAAGGGATTCCTACCACCTTCCACCCACCGAAGCCCCATCCTCCTAATGACCTAGCCTGCTGTGTGGCTCTAGGCACAGCCAACACATCTCTGGTCCCTGCCCCCCCCCCCCCCGCAAGGCTGTGCCCTCCTGAACCTGTCATTCTTGGTGGAGGCAGTGAGGAGGCCCAAGAGAAGCCTAGGAGGCTCAGCTGGTTCAGCCTAGGATCTGGAACTGGAGGCAGGCAGCAGTAAGATTACCAAATCCCACGGTTCTCACAAACTCACATGATCCTATCCCTGCCTCCCTGCCGACCTCATAAAAAGCAGGGATGGTGCCGGATAGAGTGGAGAACTATGTGAACAGTGTGTGTGTGTGTGTGTGTGTACAGGGTTTGAGAGCCTCCCCCTCACCCCACTGCCCCTGCCACGGTGGCACTCTGAGAAGCTGAGATAATCCCTTGCCATCTGTCTTGTGTTGCTAACCCGCTCAGCCGGACAGCTGCCCAGGCCACAGCTCTGCAGATGGGTGCAGGGGAGTGAGGGTCACTGAAGGAGCTGGCTAACTTCAGGGGCCAGGCAGGAATGATAATAAATCCTCTGACTGCAGAATACACTTACCCTACAGACGAAGAGAGTAAAGCCAGAGATGGGCTAGTCCAGACCTGTACTGCTCCTGGAGTTTGGGAGTGACCCTCTAAGAGAGAGAGGATGGCCTGTGGTCTTGTTTCTGCTCACCCTGTTTCATGTGTATGTACGTCCCTCCGATGGGCCAGGCAAGGAAGAATGGATCAGTCTCAACTTTCCCTCAGTCTTCAGACAGACCAGCACCCAGCACCCATGCCTTCTCTGTCAGTTTCCCAGAGCACAGGGGCGGGAGACTCACAGGCTATTTAGTGGGTAGGCCTGAAGCTCCAGGCCCATTGCGCTGAGAGAAGGAAGCAGCCTCAGGCAGGGAAGAGCTGGGGGAGCAGTCTCCAGGTCTGCTTCAGTACCTGACCCTCATGATAAAGCCTCTCTCCCTGCCTCAGCAACCACTCACAACCGTGGCTCCGTCCCTCACTGGGCTCTGAGGTTCTTAGCTGAAGCCAGATGACCAGACTCAGCAATCTGAGGTGTCAGGATGTGCCAAGCAGGGCCTGAGAAAGGATGAAGCTTTGTCGCTGGCTGGGTGTGGTGGCAGTGGCGCAAGCCTTCAGTCCCAGCACTTGAGAGGCAGAGGCAGGCAGATCCCTGTGAATTCAAGGCCAGCCTGGTGTACAGAGCGAGTTCCAGGACAGCCAGGCCTGTTACACAGAGAAACCCTGTCTCAAAACAAAACCTTGTCACTGTGTGGGTCCCTACCTTCCCCCTTCCTGCCATTTCTCCTCTCAAACAAACAGCATGCTTCCACACAGACGTTCTTAGTGCAAGCTGCACCTGTACCCGCACAAACAGGTACTCACAATCATATGCACACAGCACCTGTAAACATATTTTCACACATACAAAATGCCTCACAGGGTCTCACGAAGGCCTCAACACTCACATCGAACATTGTCCTCCCTTGACCAATACACACTTGGGCTTCCAATTTCTAAGTGACCCCCCCCCCCCAGCAACTCCATCTTTGCACACCTACTGCAGAAACGTGTAGGGAAGCTCTCACCTAGTAGATAAGAATCTGTTCTGCCCTTCCTGCCTGTGGGAAACACCCTCCCCAAGCTCCTAAGGCCTTTGGAGCT